AATTATCCTTAAGGAAGACCCATATGTCCAAAAGATTTTCCAAACACATTCGTGTGCATTTTGAAACCAGACATTATAATCAATTAAGATACATTCCTAGAACATCTGGTTACCAGCCAGGTAACAAAGTCAAGAAATAGCACTTTAAGCATTAAACACAACTGCTTTTAACAACATTTTGTCTCTTCCTTTTGAAAACAAACTACTTGTTTATCTTACAGATAAAGAAAAGGCAAAACACACAGTAAAAAAAATATAATAGGTATATGAGAAAATGAAGTTACAGTCATACACAATGTGCCATGAATTTAAAATAACTGACCGGCCGGTGCCGCGGCTCAATAGGCTAATCCTCCACCTAGCAGCGCCAGCACACCGGGTTCTAGTCCCGGTCGGGGTGCCGGATTCTTTCCTGGTTGCCCCTCTTCCAGGCCAGCTCTCTGCTGTGGCCCGAGAAGGCAGTGGAGGATGGCCCAAGTGCTTGGGCCCTGCACCCTATGGGAGACCAGGAGAAACACCTGGCTCTTGCCTTCGGATCAGCGCGGTGCACCAGCCACAGCATGCCAGCCGTGGCAGCCATTGGAGGGTGAACCAATGGCAAAAAAGGAAGACGTTTCTCTCTGTCTCTCTCTCACTATCCACTCTGCCTATCAAAAAAATAAAATAAATAAAATAAAATAACTGACCATAGAAGACTGCCCAAGTCTAATGAGATTCTAGGGACATTGAACTTTCAGTGCTAATCCAGTAATCAGGAAATTTACTGGGAAAACCAGTACAAGACGGCAACCCAAGGTATATGCCTCTAACAAATCATAGCTATTTTACTTGAACCACTATAAACATAAATTATTGGGGTGAACACTGTGATACAATGGTTAACCTATTTATAGGGATGCCCAAATCCCATACTGAAATGCCAGATACTGCTTCCTGCCAATAAGCACCCTGAGACAGCAATAGGTGAGGTTCAAGTACTTGGATCCCTGAAATCCATATAAGCAACTCAAATGGATTTCTATGCTCCTGCCTTCAGCCTGACCCAGCCCTGGCTACTGCAGGCATTTGGGTATTATTTTTTTCTATCACTCTTTTAAATAGAAAATATTAAACTAATAAAATCTATTAACTAAAAAATTATCAAATTCTAAAATCAAAATAATAGAACACTTGTCTTTACATGCTAACTTGATTTTTTACTTATTCCCAAAGAATTAAAATTTGTGTTGATAAACCCATGGATTATGTCCTTGTGGCCTCAGTCCTGGGACCTTCCTAGATTGGTTCTGTGGTAGTTATCACTTTGATCTCATTTTTTTTTCATAGCTTTAATTAATGCATATAATTTTCCAAAGTAACGACTTTATGGATTACAAATGGCTTTCCCCCCATACCGTCCCTCCCACCCACAATCCTCCCCTTTCCACTCCCTCTCCTCTTCCATTCACATCATGATTCATTTTCGATTATCTTAATATACAGAAGATCAGCTTAGTATACATTAAGTATGGATTTCAACAGTTTGCTCCCACACAGAAACATAAAGTGAAAAATAATAGATGATTTTTTTAAATGATGATGAAATCAGAGCAGACCTATTGTCATGTTTAATCCCAGTGAGAGTCAAGTTGGGAATTGATAATTTCTTTTTTTTTTTTTTTCTTTTTTTTTTTTTTTTTTTTTTTTACAGAGGATCAGTTTAGTATGCATTAAGTAAGGATTTCAACAGTTTGCACCCCCATAGAAACACAAAGTGAAATATATTGTTTGAGTACTCGTTATAGCATTAAATCTCAATGTACAGCACATTAAGGATAGAGATCCTACATGAGGAGTAAGTGCACAGTGACTCCTGTTGTTGACTTTACCAATTGACACTCCTGTCTATGGCATCAGTAATCTCCCTATGCTCCAGTCATGAGTTTCCAAGGCTATGGAAGCCCTCTGAGTTCTCCGACTCTTATCTTGTTTAGACAAGGTCATAGTCAAAGTGGAGGTTCTCTCCTCCCTTCAGAGAAAGGTACCTCCTTCTTTGATGACCTGTTCTTTCCACTGGGATCTCACTCGCAGAGATCTTTTGCCAGAGTGTCTTGGCTTTCCATGCCTGAAACACTCCCATGAGCTTTTCAGCCAGCTCCGAATGCCTTTAGGGCTGATTCTGAGGCCAGAGTGCTATTTAGGACATCTGCCATTCTATGAGTCTGCTGAGTATCTCACTTCCCATGTTGGATCACTCTCCCCTTTATTTACTCCATCAGTTAGCGTTAGCAGGTACTAGACTTGTCTATGTGTTCCCTTTGACTCCCAGTCCCTTCACCATGACCAACTGTGAACTGAAACTGATCACCTGGAACAGTGAGATGGCATTGGTACATGCCACCTCGATGGGATTGAATTGGAATCCCCTGGTATGCTTCCAACTCCACCACTTGGGGCAAGTCAGCCTGAGCATGTCCCAAATTATACATCTCTTCCCTCTCCCATTCCCACCACCATGTTCAACAGGGATCACATTTCAGTTAATTTTCAACACTTAAGAATAACTGTGCATCAATTACAGATCTAAACCAGTCATATTAAGTAGAACAGATAAAAAAAACTACTAAGAGGGATAATGTATTAAGTTGTTCATTAACAGTCAGGGCTATGCTGATCAAGCCACCATTTCCCATAGTGTCCACCTCACTCCAACAGATTTCCCTCTTGGTGTTCAGTCAGTCGTCACCGATCAGGGAGAACATATGGTATTTGTCCCTTTGGGACTGGCTTATTTCACTCAGCATGATGTGTTCCAGATTCCTCCATTTTGTTGCAAATGACTGGATTTCGTTGTTTCTTACTGCGGTATAGTATTCTAAAGAGTACATATCCCATAATTTCTTTATCCAGTCTATCGTTGATGGGCATTTAGGTTGGTTCCAGGTCTTAGCTATTGTGAATTGAGCTGCAATAAACATTAGGGTGCAGACCGCTTTTTTGTTTGCCAATTTAAATTCCTTTGGGTAAATTCCAAGGAGTGGGATGGCTGGGTCGAACGGTAGGGTTATCTTCAGGTTTCTGAGGAATCTCCAGACTGACTTCCATAGTGGCTTGACCAGCTTGCATTCCCACCAACAGTGGGTTAGTGTCCCTTTTTCCCCACATCCTCGCCAGCATCTGTTGTTGGTAGATTTCTGCATGTGAGCCATTCTAACCGGGGTGAGGTGAAACCTCATTGTGGTTTTGATTTGCATTTCCCTGATTGCTAATGACCTTGAACATTTTTTCATGTGCCTGTTGGCCATTTGGATTTCCTCTTTTGAAAAATGTCTATTGAGGTCCTTGGCCCATCTCTTAAGTGGGTTGTTGGTTTTGTTTTTGTGGAGTTTCTTGATCTCTTTGTAGATTCTGGTTATTAACCCTTTATCTGTTGCATAGTTTGCAAATATTTTTTCCCATTCTGTCGGTTGTCTCTTCACTTTCATAGCTCCTATTACTTCCTCTATTTTTTGGGCTTAGTATTCAAGACTGTTGGCAGAAACATAGTTGGAATCCCCAGTTCTACACTTCCCTATCATTCTAAATGGACAACAAAGTACCTATACGAGGCCTGCCACTGGCTAGTCTTTTCTCCTTTTTAGGGGCTATAGTCCTCACAAGGGATCTCAATGATGTGTGAGTACCAATGTGTCAATGTTTAAGAATGTGAAGGAGGGGCCTGTTCTGTGGCATAGTAGCAGTAAAGCCACCACCTGCAGTGCTCTCATCCCATGTGAGCAAAGGTTTAAGTCCTGGCTGCTCCACTTCCGATCCTGCTCTCTACTATGGCCTGGGAAAGCAGTAGAAGATGGCCCAAGTTCTTGCGCCCCTGCACCCACGCGGGAGACCCGGAAGAAGCTCCTGGCTCCTGGCTTCAGATCGGCACGGCTCTGGCTGTTAAGAAGGGAGTGAACCAGCAGATGGAAGACACCTCTCACATAAAGTATTACTGTGTTTCAATTTTTCCCCTTCTGTAATTCCCTATGCAGTAAAAAAAAAAAAAAAAAAAAGAGAGAGAGAGAGATCGGGGGCCATAGTTGTTATATCAGAATGAAGGGAGGGACCAGCATTGTGGCGCAGTGGGTTAAAGCCCTGGCCTGAAGCGCCAGCATCCCATGTGGGTGCCGGTTTGAGACCCAGCTGCTCCATTTCCTATCCAGCTCTCTGGTATGGCCTGGGATAGCAGTAGAAAGATGGCCCAAGTCCTTGGGCCCCTGCAGCCACATGGGAGACCCGGAAGAAGCTCTTGGCTCCTGGCTTCGGATCGGCGCAGCCCTGGCCGTTGCGGCCAATTGGGAAGTGAAGCATCAGAAGGAAGACCTCTCTTTCTCTCTCTCTCTCTGCCTCTCCTCTCTCTGTGTAACACTGAGCTTCAAATAAATAAATAAATAATTTATAAAAAAAGTTCATCCCAATTAACAATCAAACATTTAAAAAAAAAGGATGAAGGGAACACATTGGTTTCATGTGCGATGTAGCAAGTCTGGGAAAGCCAAAACTCAGCAAAATTTCTTCAGAAAATATTCAGTGGGATTCACACCCTGGGCTCGCCTCATCATTGTTTTTTGATCATTTGCTTAGCCAAGATTAGACATTACTCAATGAAACTTAAGTTTGTCAGAAACTTTCCCATTTAATCTATTTCTGCAGAAGATTCCCAAAAATATCCCTATGGATTTAGATCAAGATGTTCTCCTCACTGGGAAATGAATTTGGTTGGTATCTGCTTTTTTATTTGTTTGTTAGAACAGACAGCGCTCCCATCCTCTGGTTCACTCCCCAAATGCCCACAATGGCCAAAACTGGGCCGGGCCAAAGCTAGGAGCAGAAAACTCAATGTAAGTCTCCCACGTGGGTGGCAGGGACCCAACTCCCTGAGCCTTCACCTGCCTCCCAGACCCTGCTTTGGCAAGAACCTGGAACTGCATGCTGGAGCTGGATACCAAGCCCAGGCACTCTGATAGGGGATACAGGCATCTTACTTGTTAAGCCATGTGTGTGCTCCTCCTCCTTTATTACTCTGTCCTTAAGTAAAACAAGGTTGTTCTTCACAAGTTGTTTGAGAGAAAATTTCCAAACGTACTGCTTAGCCGGCATGAAATAAACATTCTTCTTTTTCTCAGCACCGATGATTCCTGAAAACAAAACTAGGTCATACCAGGGGAGATACCTAGAATCCCTGACATCTGTTGCTTGGTTTTTGATGGATTAAATCCTTGTGCTTGCTAGTAATCTAAAATGCTAAGAGGATTAAAAAGAATCTTAAAATAGTTAGAAAGTATTTACCCAACTTAACATTATTATGTCTGAAGGTCAAGATAAGGGATAGGACAACAATCACCTTGCTTGCAAGCATTAAACTGGGTCATCAGTATCCAAAGAACCACCCTCAATACTAGTAGGAGGGTAACATTGTGGGATTCTTAGTGAAGTCTCTAATTCACTAATAGAGAATTTGTGACAATTCAAATAGAGACTGAGTTGTAACTTTGTGCTCTAAATGAGAATTTAAAATGCAAAAAAAGGAAAAACTTAAATATATTTGAAATGAAAGTGAAATATTTAAGCATTTCAATAAAAATAGTACTAACAAATTCCTAAAGAAAGCAGAATAGTGCTGGATAGGGAGTAGAGTAGAACAGAGTCAGGAAAAGAGGGTCATGGGGATCTTATTAATATGTCTATACACGTTAAATTTCAATTTGGGATTTTGAAAAAGTTCTACAGATGGGTAGCATGATATACAACCATGTGAATACTTAATGTTTCTGAACTGCCTACTTGAAATGGTTAAATTGGTAATGTATTTGTATAAATAGTTTTGGGCCAGTACTCAGGCACAGCCAGTTAAAGCCATGGCCTGTAGCACTGGCATTTCATGTAAGCACCAGTTGGAGTCCTGGCTGCTCCACTTCCAATTGAGTTCCCTGCTAATGTGCTTGGGAAAGCAGCAGAAGATGGCTCAAGTCCTCAGGCCCCTGTATCAATGTGGGAGACCTAGAAGATGCTCCTAGCTCCTGACTTCGGCCTGGCCCAGCCTTAGCTGTTGAGGCCATCTGGGGAGTAAACCAGTGGATCGAAGATCTCTCTGTCTCCCCTTCTCTCTCAGTATTTCTGCCTTTCAAATAAATAATAAATCTCTACCAAAAAAAACCCTCTTTCTAGTTTTAAATGTATTAGTAGCTATATTTTTTAAAAGATTTATTTATTTGAAGTATATAGAGAGACAGAGAGAGAGACAGAGACAGAGAGAGGTCTTCCACCTGCTGGTTCACTCCCCAAATGGCCACAATGGCCAGGCCTGGGAAGACTGAAGTCAAGAGCAGGAGCTGCTTCTGCATCTGCCACATGTGTGCAGGGGACCAAGGACTGGGGCCATCCTCCTCTAGAAGATATCAATTACATATATATAATTTATATAATTTAATTATGTACTATATGAATTTAATTCTATATTTATATAAATTACATAAAATTTTATGTGAATTATATAAATTTAATTATGTTATATATAATTTATATATAGTTTATAATGCAAACAGTGATTTCACGTCTTATTTCAGCTATTGTGTTCCACGTTAGTATTGTGCTCTACATTAGTACTCCCTAATTTTGAAACATTCTATAATTCAATTCTACCCACTACAAACATTTATTCTGAGCTACGCTAAAATAGGAAGTACATGCAGTAGTCCACAGGCCTGACTCCATAATCAGACTACCAGGACTGAATTCTTACTTTACCAGTTTTTGGCTGTGAGTTGGACATATTTGCAGTTTCCCAAGATCTAATTTTTTTATCTATTAAATGATGCTGAAAAAAATAATTCATAGGATCTCTGGAAATCGAAATGTGTACGTGTGTGTGTACATATATGTATGTGTGTGTATATATTGCTTTGAATAATCCCTAGCATGTAGCAAACATTCAGGAAACACCTGTCTATTTTACAGTGGTATAACAAAAAAGTTAAGTTTTACTACTATGTAAAACATTTATTTATACACTGATGATAGGGCTTACTTCTGTGCTTTTTTATGTTTCCTTAAACACTTTTATTTTAATGTTTAATTACTTTAGAGATTCAATATGGTTTGTAGATACAATTTTAAGAACATAATGACATTCTCCTCCTTGCTCTCTTCCTCCCTTCCCACTCCCTCCCAGTCTCCCTTCTCTTTTTTTGTAGTTTTTGAGATAACATATTTTAAATTTACATTACAGTAAAAATGCATAATATTTCACCAAATAAGAATTTTAACAAGTAAAATACAAGAAGACCTTAATTTAGTGTGAATATAAACAATGGCTATAAACAATAATGGAACAGAAAAATGACTACTTCTCCCATAAACAGTAAATTTTAAAGTAATCACAGATCAGTAAAATTCTAACAGTATATCATTCTTAATCATTGGTTTAACAAAAGTATAAAACAATTTCACAAAATTATATTTGCTAAAATGGAAACTGAATCAGTAATAAAGACCCTGCCAAAAATGAAATGCCCAGGACCTGATAGCTTCTCTGCTGAATTCTACCAGACATTTAAAGAACTAATTCCAATTCTTCCCAAGCTATTCAAAACAACTGAAGGGGAGGGAATCCTCCCAAACTCCTTCGATGAAGCCAGCATCCTTAATTCTAAACCTGAAAAAGGTAACAGAGAAAGAGGACTATAGATCAATTTCCCTGATGAACAGACAGAAAAATCCTAAAGAGAATACTAGCCAGTCGAATCAAACAACACATCAGAAAGATCATTCACCCAAACCAAGTGGGATTTATTCCTACTAGGCAGGTATGGTGCAACATTCACAAGTCAATGTAATACATCACATTAACAAACTGAAGAACAAAAACCATATTATTATCTCAATAGATACAGAGAAAGGATCTGATAAAATACAACATGCTTTCATGATGAAAACCTTAAGCAAAGTGGGTATACAAGGAACATTACTCAACACAATCAAGGTGCTCTATGACAAACCCATGGCCAACATCCTACTGAATGGGGAAAAGCTGGAACCATTATGCTAAGATCTGGAACCAAAGATACCCACTCTCACCACTGCTATTCAATATAGTTCTGGAAATTTTAGCCAGAGCCATTAGGCAAGAAAAATAAATAAAAGGGATATAAATGTGGAAGGAGGAAGTCAAACTATCCCTATTTGCAGATGATATGATTCTCTATATAGGGGACCCAAAGACTCCATTGAGAGACTATTGGAACTCATAAAAAAGAGTTTGGTAAAGTGGCAGGATATAAAATTAGCACACGAAAATCAATAGACACAAACAATGCCATGCCAGAGAAAGAATTCTAAGATCAGTCTCATTCATAATAGCTACAAAAAAATTAAATACCTTAGAATATGTTTAACTAAGGGCATCAAAGTTCTCCACAATGAGAATAACAAAACATTAAGGAAACAGAACAAGACACAAAAAAATGGAAAAAGCTCCCATATTCATGGATTGGAAGAATCAACAGCATCAAAATGTCTATACTACTGAAAGCAATTTACAGATTCAATGCGATACCAATCAAGCCGGTGCTGCAGCTCAATAGGCTAATCCTCCGCCTGTGGTGCCAGCACACCGGGTTCTAGTCCTGATCGGGGCGCCGGATTCTGTCCCGGTTGCCCCTCTTCCAGGCCAGCTCTCTGCTGTGGCCAGGGAGTGCAGTGGAGGATGGCCCAAGTGCTTGGGCCCTGCACCCCATGGGAGACCAGGAGAAGCACCTAGCTCCTGCCATCAGATCAGCACGGTGTGCTGGTCGCAGCACGCTGGCCGCAGCGGCCATTGAGGGGTGAACCAATGGCAAAGGAAGACCTTTCTCTCTGTCTGTCTCTCTCACTGTCCACTCTGCCTGTCAAAAAAAAAGAAAGAAAGAAAAGAAAGAAAAGAAAGAAAAGAAAGAAAAGAAAGAAAAGAAAAGAAAAGAAAAGAAAAGAAAAGAAAGAAAGAAAGAAAATACCAATCAAAATACCAAAGACATTCTTCTTAGATCTAGCAAAAACAATGTTAGAAATCTAACATTGAAAATGGCTCTGAGGGCCCATGCTGTAGCGTAGAAAGTAAAACTGCCACAGGCATCTCATATGAGCACCAGTTCAAACCCTGGCTGCTCCACTTCTAGAAACACTGGAGACCCCGAATAGCTAAAACAATCATATACAACAAAAACAAAACCAGAGGCATCACAATACTACCAGATTTCAAGACACACTATAGGGCAGCTATAATCAAAACAGCCTGTTACTGGCAAAAAATAGATATGTAGACCTATAGAACTGAATAGAAACTCCAAAAATTAACCCACTCATCTACAACCACCTTATCTTTGACAAAGGAGCTAAAATCAATCCCCACAGCAAAAACAGTCTCTTCAACAAATGGTGCTGGGAAAACTGGGTCTCCATATGCAGAAATATGAAGCAAGACCCCTACCTTACACAAAAATCCAATCGAAATGGATCAAAGAACTAAGCCTATGTCCCGATACCATCAAATTATTAGAGAACATTGGGAAAACCCTGCAAGACATGAGCATAGGCAAAGAGGTCTTAGAATAGACCCCAGAGGCATAAGCAATCAAAGCCAACATTGACAAATGGGATTACATCAGAGAAGCTTCTGCACTGCAAAAGAAACTCTCAGCAAAGTGAAGAGGCAATCAACAGAATGGGAGAAATTATTTGCAATCTGTGCAACTGATAAAGGATTAATATCCAAAATATATAAAGAGCTCAAGAAACTCAACAACAACAAAACAGTCTAGTTTATAAAAGGACTTAAACAGGCATTCCTTCAAAAGAGGAAATCCAAATGGCCAACAGACACATGAAAAAATGTTCAGAATCACTAGTCATTAGGGAAATACAAATCAAAACCACAAGGAGGTTTCACTTCATCTCCTATTAAAATGGCTTTCATACAGAAATCAACAAACAACAAAGGCTGGCAAGGATGTGGGGGAAAAAGGAACCCTAATCCATTGTTGGTGGTAATGTAAACTGGTATAGCCAGTATGGAAGACAGTATAAAGATACCTCAGAATTCTGAATCTAGACCTATCACATGATCCAGCCATCCCACTCCTGGGAATTTATGCAAGGTAAATGA